TACCTCATCCCTATATTGTTATTTATTTTGCTCTTTTGCACCCCAGTATCTCTATTTGCACATAATCTCTTGCACATCTAGCATTCCAGTGTTAATACTAATTGTAATTATTTTGCACTATAGCCTATTTATTGCCTTACCTCCATAACTTGCTACATTTGCACACACTGTATATATATTTTCTGTTGTATTTTTTGGACTTTATGTTTTTTACCCCATATGTAACTCTGTGTTGTTGTTTTTATCGAACTGCTTTGCTTTATCTTGGCCAGGTCGCAGTTGTAAATGAGAACTTGTTCTCAACTGGCTTACCTGGTTAAATAAAGGTGAAATAAAATAAAATAAAAAGTGTGTTTTGGGTCGTTGTCATGCTGGAAGACCCAGCCACGACCCATCTTCAATGCTCTTACTGAGGGAAGGAGGTTGTTGGCCAAGATCTCGCGATACATGGCCCCATCCATCCTCCCCTCAATACGGTGCAGTCATCCTGTCCCCTTTGCAGAAAAGCATCCCCAAAGAATGATGTTTCCACCTCCATGCTTCACGGTTGGGATGGTGTTCTTGGGGTTGTACTCATCCTTCTTCTTCCTCCAAACACGGCGAGTGGAGTTTAGAGTTTAGAGTTCTCCCCACTGTATATTAGAGTTTTATTTTTCATGATTTTTTAAAACAAATGTTTTAAATGTAGAATTTTTCTTCCACATTGACATTAGTTTTTTGTGTAGATCGATACATTTTAATCCCACTTTGTAACACAACAAAATGTTGAAAAAGTCAAGGGGTGTGAATAATTTCTGAAGGCACTGTAAATACTATGAAGAGTGCCTGGGTTCTCCTTGTTTTTCTCTGACTAGTAAACCTCTACCCTTACCAAACAGCACCTCCAATCCTACTTTATAATATTCTATCTATAGTGTATGCACATACCTCTCCCAACCCTTGTTTTTTTTTACCTTATTTGTCCTCCTCCCACACACAGCGTGTTATCTGAATTTAGCTCAGTGCCTTACATAAAGATGTCTCCACAGCACCGGCTTCTACCTGACCTATGGAGAGAATCAATATTACAGCTTTTTCTACATGATCTGAGTGACGTTTCTGTATAGCTGTAAATACATGAACTATCCACCTGGGTGTAGACCTGCTGCATACAGCCAACTAACCTCTGGACCAGGTGACCTTTGCTTTCAGTTAACAACCGCAGGGGTTGAATGGAACTTGACCCCATAGTTGAACTAACTTCTTGGAAACACCAACACATAGGGCCACCAGGTTCACATAGCCCATAGCTATTAGATGAATATTACCTAGAATCTTCCAGTTTACCATGGGGTCGAAAGGAAAAAACATGGGTTTGATAAATTCCTATAGAAACGCCTACACGTTAGGCCTCATCAAGTCATATTATTGATATTAGATCAATATTAGCTAGAATTTTGTCAGCCATCCAGGGATTGATTAGATTTTCCATTTCACCTCATGAAAGTGCTCATAAAAAGTGGGTAACAGTTTTTCTCCTACAGTGCCTTCAGAAAGTATTCATACCCCTTGATTTAGTCCACATATTGCTGTCTTACAGCCTGCATTGAACATTGATTAAAAGGGGGGGGGGGGTTCTCACCCATCTACACACAATACCCCATGAAGTGAAAACATGTTTTTTTTTACATTTTAGCAAATGTATTGAAAATGAAATACAGAAATATCTCATTTACATAAATATTCACACCCCTGAGTCAATACTTTGTAGAAGTACCTTTGGCAGTGATTAAAGCTGTGAGTATTTCTAAGTATGTCTCTAAGAGCTTTCCACACCTGGATTGTGCAACATTTGCCAATTATTATTTTCAAAATACTTCAAGCTCTGTCAAATTGGTTGTTGATCATTGCCAGACAACCATTTTCAGGTCTTGCAATTGATTTTTAACTCAGCCACTCAGAAACATTCACTGTCTTCTCGGAAAGCATCTCCAGTGTAGATTTGGCCTTGTGTTTACGGTTATTTTCCTGCTAAAAAGTGAATTCATCTCCCAGTGTCTGGTGTAAAGCAGACTGAACCAGGTTTTCCTCTAGGATTTTGCCTATGCTTAGTTCCATTACGTTTCCTTTTTATCCTGAAAAACTCCCCAGTCCTTAACGATTGCAAGCATACCCATAACATGATGCAGCCACCACTATGCTTGAAAATAGGGAGAGTAGTACTCCGTAATGTGTTTGATTTGCAGAAAAATTGTAATTGCTTTGGCACATTTTTTACTTTAGTGCCTTGTTGCAAACAGGATGCATGTTTTGGAATATTTTGTATTTTGTACAGGCTTCCTTCTTTTCACTCTGTCAATTAGGCTAGTATTGTGGAGTTAACTACAATGTTGTTGATTCCATGCTCAGTTTTCTCATATCACAGCCATTAAACTCTGTCCAGTAGCTTTTTTTAAGTCACCATTGGCCTCATGGTGAAATCCCTGAGCGGTTTCCTTCCTCTCTGGCAACTGAGTTAGGAAGGACACCTGTATATTTGTAATGACTGGGTGTATTGATACACCATCCAAAGAGTAATTAATAACTTCATGCTCAAAGGGATATTCAATGTCTGTTTGTTTTTTTACCCATCTACCAATAGGTGCCCTTCTTTGCGAGGCATTGGAAAATCTCCCTGGTCTTTGTGGTTGAATCTGTTTTTTAAATCCAGTGCTTGACTGAGGGACCTTACAGATCATTTTATGTGTGGGGTACAGAGATGAGGTAGTCACTCAAAAATCCTGTTAAACACTATTATTGCACACAGAGTGCAACATGTGACTTGTTAGGCCAATTTAAACATATTTAGGCTAGCCATAAAGGGGTTGAACACTTATTGACTCAAAACATTTCCGATTTTCATTTTTAATTAATTTGTTTTAAAAAATAATCAAAAAACATAATTCCTCTTTGCCATTATGGGGTATTGTATGTAGGCCAGTGACAACAAATCTCAATTTAATCTATTTTAAATTCAGGCTGTAACACAAAATGTGGAAAAATGCAAGGCGTTTGAATACTTTTTGAAGGCACTATCTACCAGACCTCTTAATATAGCCTTTGACAAAATGGTTGTTGATAAGGTGAGATGGATGTCTAAGGGAAAACAAGATTAATATGATGCAAGGAGAATGTGAATATTTTAGATATCCTGACAGAATGGAGAGCCAAAGATGGTGAGACTAGCCTTTGCTGTTTCTTGAACTAAAGTGCAACATTGCCACCTAGTGGTCTTACTATGCTACTTCCATGTTCAATATTCCAATATGCAGTTTCTATTTTGCAGTCAACTGTTTTTAGTCCACACTCTCTCCATGATAGCCGCCGGACATAACTGTGTGACTTGAGATGCATGCTAAAATGCTGCATATCTGTCTGCTATCCTAGCACCCTTGCAGAAGATGAAGATTGACTGTCAGTGGACAGAGACAGTCCAATGAAGCCAGGGCAGTATGCATTTCAGTTCTATACCGTTCGCAGCAAATGTGCAAAATCTTTTCTCTAGTAGAAATTAAATGTTTCCCCTTCAGTTTGAACAAGACTAAACAAAAAGGTACAGTATGAATACTGTCCCTGATCAGCGCTTTCACCTCCTAAACCCCACTAGACAGCACCAGGAGTAGAACCCCCACCCCTAGACATCACATGCACTCCAAGTGAAGCATAATACTAGGCTCATCAGTTGGTCCCAGTGCATAGTACTCCATTACACAATCATGTTAATTTAAAAGGTGCAAGATTAAGCCCAACATCCTTTCTTGACCTTTGGGTGATGGAAAAATACTGGCTGCTAAATCTTAACATGGAATCCAAAATGAAACCGAGCAGCAGTTTGCATTCCAGGCTAACTACATCCCCACATCTTTAACCTGTTCTAGCTAACTGTTAAAAGGATGGTCTTCAAAAGAATTGCGGAAATCTGAAGCGTCACAGGAATCAATAAAGCACGCATGGATGAAGAAATGGCGTTTGACCATTTTATTATTTATTACAGTTAAGTCAACTAGTAACATCTATTAAGAAGCCAAAGCGTATTGCTCTTCTGCATTCCATGTATAGACCCACTCCTCTAGTAACATCCTAGATGATTCAAAAGTCTGGCAAAGTTACTTCATGGACCCTACAACAGCACTAAGTCATGTGCTTTGAGACAAACCTCCACTTTACAAACTAAACAAAAAAAAAAAAAAAATCAGCAGCGGCACAAAGATTAGGTTTAGGTTGCATCTGAAATGGCACCCTATTCCCTATATAGTGCACTACTTTTGGGTAGTGCATTAGGATAAGGATGACATATCAGACAAAGCCTTAGTTATTTAAAGAACAAGACTAGCAGATCTCTAAACAGCAAAAGCTGCGATACACCTGCTGCTGTGAAAGAGGTGAAACCAATCAATATGTTAACAACCAGTGATCAATAAGCGCTATGAACAGTCAGGTGTGAGATACACAGGGACACCATTCCAAAGCTGCACTATGGAATAGAGAGATCATGTCGAGGACCTATGCACAGCACATGCTTCCTTAAAAAGGACAAGTCCATACACTGCTATTTTTCATTAGGTCAGAAGCTGTAATGAAAAAAACTATATATCCAAAGAAATGGGCTGTGTATGAAATGGTTACTAGAGGTCCAATCCTTGCTTTCTCAGTCCTCTTTTTGTTAATTTCTTTCACAGCTTCATTGGTGGTCTGAGGAAATTACCTTGGATCCTCTCCTCCAATACCATTTGAGAGGATTTGAAGGCTAGTAACGTTTAGACAGCCGTAGAAGCAACAAGGAGACAAATATCCACACATAAAACTATCGCAAGTACACTTATAGCAGGAGAGAAGTTAAATTCACAAACGGGGAGAACTTATTTTCTTCATAAGATGGGTGGCAGTGAACAACAAAAATACTGGCCATCAACTAAATATAAATCAATCTTTGGATACGTAAAAAACCCTCTTGTATACAATCCCCCCATAGACTGAACTGTTCAGTTTTCTGTCTCGGCACCGCCCTCTTTGGTTTCCTTCTTGGCCCGCACCTCTTCCAGTTTCTTGTCCTGGGAAGAAATAGAAGTTCAAAACATTAGTGACATTTCTAAAGTGAATTATTGAACAGACAATGAACATGCATACATTCCTTTCTCTTTCCCGTTGCCAATTTGTCATGAGCTTGACCAGTGACATTGTGGTGTTTACCATTGGTGTGAAATCAATAAAAACACTGAACTTTTTCCTCAAGTCTTCCAACTGCACCAAACCAACTCTGAACTCACTTGCAGAGGTAAGTGATCAAGTCGTTGAGATCCCGCCCCCCCGTGGGTGTATCCTTTAGGGATGGGGCATGGTTATTTGAATATCCAAATGGACGTTAGTATTCGATTACTTACTTGGGAGAGTACTCATTTAAGAAAAAAGTTGAGTGCACCCCATAAAAAGACTCTCCAGTAGCCTACACATGTGTAGCTTGTTACTGTCTGAGTCACAGCGGCTTTACAGTCAGAGGCTCCATGTGTAGCAAGTGAAGCGGGCGATTACTAATCAATGCAAAATAGAAAAACGTAGAATTAAGTTGGCTAAATGAGAAGTAGGCTACGGTGACCAATCAACAGGTAGGCGGTCTCATATGAATTGAGTTCTAGACATTGGCCGGGGAGCGCAGCAAAATAGCCTTAATTACCCTTGTTACTTTAGCTTGCTAGCTTCTTTACAACGATTTGATGCAGTTCAGACAGGCACTACCAGATGGTACAGTCAGGCCTTAATGGCCATGTACTCTTATAATTTCCACCCAGCACAGCCAGAAGAGGACTGGCCACCCCTCAGAGCCTGGTTCCTCTCTAGGTTTCTTCCTAGCCAACGTGCTTCTACATCTGCATTGCTTACGGTTTTAGGCTGGGTTTCTGAATAAGCACATTGTGACATCTGCGGATGTCAAAAGGGCTTTATAAAAATACATTTGACAACCTATGGCAGCAACAAGTTTGTCTAACTAACGCAAGTCGGTTTGGCTACCTTCTCTCGCTCCCGCTGTGCCACAGATTGTCACACCGGCCCCCGCCGCCTCACCCCTCCCCTACAAGCAGAGTTCACCGGCTCTCGTCACGCGACCAAGTGTCCATTGAAGTCCCCCCAAAAACATACATTTGTAAACATGCATTTTGACTATCCGGATATCTGGGGAAAAAATATCATTATTCTAATACTGAAATAATTTCAAATGCCCATCCCTTATGTCCTACAAACAGCATGCATGATGTGTATAAACGTTGGAAATGTTACTGTGGTCGCTAGCTAGGCGCAGGCCATTAAGTTACTGATCATGTTCGAGAGCGTCAACACCATGATGCATCATGGGTAAATTGTGACTGATCTACAAATAGTCGTTATTTATGATGCAAGGTGATTTGTGGAGTCGGCAGTCACCTGCAATGTTGAACAACCCCACTGTCTCGTGTCCTCCATTCATTGAAAATGACTGGTAGCTGGGTCACCGATTATCATGGCAAGACAGATCTGCAGGTAAAAGATAGAGGCCAACATACCTTCTCCTTGAACTTCTCACTCATGGCTGCCTGAAGGGCCTCCTTGTTCTCTTTGTTGGCCTCCATCTTCTGGTTAAGCTTCTCCTCGGCTATCTTGCTGAAGTTGTTGTTCTCCTCCATGGCTTTCCTTTGCACCTCCTTCTCGTGCTCCCTCTTCTCAGCGAGGTGCTTCAGAACCTCCGCTTCATGGGACTGGAGGATGGCGCAAGAGGGAGAGGAGTTTGATATTCAGACATCCAACTACAAAACATTTTAATTGTAATACAATATATAGACTGCATAGAGCCACAGGTGGTGATTATTTGGCCCCAAAGTTCTGGGGGGGACGGGACGGCATAAGACTAAAAACCCCACCAGCAAATCAGCCCAAAGGGATTTTAAATTTGGGAAATCTGTGCCAAAGTATTCCCCAAGCATAGAGATATGTGATCATATACAAATGTAAGAAAGGATTGAAAGGATCAGATTTTGGTAAATCATATCCATTTGGGCTTCTTTCTGTCAATTTCCAGCCCCCTGACCATCGCAGAAAGAAAAAAATCCCTAGCATAGAGGCATGTCATGGCAACAAGGCATAAGGTTAAAATGTGTAAATACTAGTGATGGGGGAAAAAATACAAATCAATCCAGTTAAATGTCAGGATATAGAATCCGCTTCCTTGGGGTCCAAAAAGGATCAAATTGATAAAACAATTACCCAAATTGGGATTAATAAAGTAATACTCCATAATTTGACGATATAGCATATCATAGACAATAACGCAATATTTTTGCACTAGTTGGCTGTACCAAAACTCCAGTATTTTTCCTTTATAGTGTGTTCTCCATCTTTTAAATAGGGAGCCAATTTGTTTTCAGAACTTTTATTTCCATGACTGACTAGTGAGCAATATGTTTAGAACATCAAATCGCAATAAAATTTGTATAAAATCTTGAGTCGCAATACTTATTGTATGGGCACCTAAGCAGGGTGGGAAATTAACTTTAGTCCACCAGCCACTATGGCAGGTAGATGAAAAGCTACCAGTCACTTAGATTAATTTTGCACCCAAGTACCGCAATAACGTATTGTGAGGTCGCTGGCAATTCCCAGCCCTAGTAAAAATTCCCAAAATTGTGCCAGTCAGTTAAAGCTAGGATCAACATGTCCCCCCCCTTTGTTTTTAGCTAACAATATACACTACAATTCATGGGTGAGAGTAGATTACCCTTTGTCAAAAAAGGTCATTTCTGGACAATAGTTTTTCCCTTTAGGGGACCCCTTTTGGATCAAGAGCACCTCTATAGGCAAAAAGTTCAGTGTAGTCTAACTGGAGCACAACCTACCTTCCTTCTCTCCTCTGCAGCCTCTAGTTTCCTCTGGATCTCCTCCAGGGACAGGTCCTTCTTCTTGGGGGGAGAAAGGGGGAACTCTCCCTTGGCGTCTGGACCTGGTGCTCCCAGGATCACCTCGAACGCCTGGCCAGACGCACGTTTATCAATCTCCTTAACCTGAATATCTGGAGGGGACAAATTATGCATTTCAGTTATTGAAACATGAATGCCGACAGAGGTTCCTATGGGAATGTGGAACTTGTCTGGGTGCAAACGGAAATTCTATGCCTTCGAAACAAGGGAAGAGGTCTCAGGACAGGGACGTGAACAATTTGGGGGGGGGGGGGGGGGGGGGCACAGACAGAATTGGGCCACTGCACATTTAACTAAGGTTCCCTCAATTGTATAAAGAAAAAAAGAAAAGAAAAAAACTCATCTCCTTCCTCTCATCTGGACTGATGGGAATAGACATGACTGGTGAAAACCATATGGTGGAAGCGCATCATTAGACTGGCTTCCACCTGCTCACTTCTTTAAGATAAAAAGAGAAGAGGGGTGGGGACCGATTATTTTCATGGCTTTCAAAATCCCAACTTACCTCCGCAGGAAGATGCCATTTCACCAGTGGACAGAGTCAATGTATCTGGAGGAAGAAAATGTATCAATTATTGTCACATTTATTGACTAAAGCCCATTCCACATCAACAGTTGTCAGTGCTTTTACAGTAACCCGGCCTAGACCCCAACAAGTACGCGTGACAACACTTACTAATGCATTAGTATGTCCTTGAACATGAAGAACCAGCTACACCCACTCCCTGAGGACTGGATAAAATCTCCATCTTCACAAGGTGCCTGAATCATTAACACAGAGCACTTGCACCCTCTAGTGTGAGAGACCTCACTGTGTGTTCAGGTGGAACACTGACTAAACAGAGCTGCAAAAAGCAAAACCAGGCCCACTCAGTGGTGACATCTTTCGGTCACATTCAACAGCAACCAACCACCGCCCTATTAAAAAAAGCTGTGTGGCATTCATTCACAGCTAACTACATGGCACATGAAACACTGTAGTAGGGCCAGAACAATACCATTATCACAACTCGTTAGTATGGTGGCAAGGGAATAAAACACGAAGCAATCAAACATTATGTTGTCATCCAGAGCCACATTTATTTTCCAAGCTAAAGCACAATATTTTACATACATCAGGTTGTCATTTTTGCTATGGAAAAAAATATTGCAATACTAGTATTTCCCCGGCCCTACTGTCTAGCATGTATACTAGATTTTACAAAATCCACATTAAATCAAGAAGCCACTTTACTGTAGATGGGCGAGGCCCTTTCAATGCCTGGCTACAGCCTCAGTGACATTATGTATGCATGATGAACAAACAGGCTATGGCTAGAACAAAAGGCTAGAGCTTACCAAAATTGCAGGGCGTTGACAATGCCATTGGAGAGCTACAAAGATATTTGGCAGCTATAATATACACCGGAAGCCAACAAGACTAGTCTGAATATTGAAACATTCAAAACAAGCTGCAAAAGGTGCACCCGTTTGTTCTTAGTGCACTAACGTTAGCTATAAACCACAGGGGGAAACAAGTTCGACAGCACGTAGTTAACTACTTGAACCATTCAAATGCTAGAAGAATACAATAAAAATCACAGTTTTCGTAAATACATTTGCATGTACAGTAATTTGACTCGGTGAAGTGGTGCTGATAAAGTCACAGACAAAGATGGAGGTTTGTCAACAGCTCAAAGATAAATACCAACATGTGAAGTGTTTCCATGTTTCGTTACCTAGCCCATTATACACTTAACCTAAATTGATTCTCTTGGATAAAAGGGAGGGGAGAGAGACACCTGCAGCAATCAAAACCTGCGACACTTTAGTTCTCAATACAACAAAGAGACTAGCTAACGTTCCATGGTCGTAACAAAACATTAGGTAACAGCACAAGAAAGGCGCTTTTGTTTGGTTGCAATGAACGTCAATGAGAGCAGCTGCAAACAAAGAGGGGCGCGAGCGCGTGCTCCAGGCAGTTCCGCCCGTTTTGTTATTCGCACGAAGCCCCTCAACACCAAGTTCAATGCGTTTGAACGACAGGTTTAAAAAAAAAAAAATCACAATTAACCAGAACATTCAACGACTAATAATTTATACGTCAATAACGCAGATAATTGTTAGTGGCAACGGGAAGCTTCAAATATGGATGGCAACACCGTTTGTTTAGCAAAATACCCTGCAAACAAAATGCATAAGTCATCGAGGAGTATCTATGAATGGCTGATCAAAGTAGGCCAAATTAGCTCATTAAAACATGTCACAATGACCTGTATTTATTTTAGTAAATGCAAAATGACTTGTTACTAGCTAGCTACGTCGTGTAATCAATAGAATGTAATTTGCGCCATTATCAAATGTGCATCCCTACCCAGTAAGTAACGTTAGCGTCAAGACAAACACTCACTGATCAACGACATCTCGTCACCTGTCTGAGGCGAAACAGAACGATCAAAAGATGGCTAACGTTCGTTACCGTATGGAACAATAGCTGCTAACCAGCCATCCACCCACGTTCTTGTTACAATTGCATTCCATTTTCACTAAAGCAGTCAGATAAACTCTGTTGAAAGACACAAAATGAACAATGTCTGAGCAACAATCTTCATTAACTAACGTTAGCTAGGTTGGTTGTTAGTTAACGTCCAGAAAAACGAAGACACCGTGGCGTTTAGCCATGATTGAAGCTGAGAGGTAACACATTTTATCACCACTTCACCAAATTGTTTTTTTTTTATACAAATCAATATTTTCATCAATCAGGCAAGATTAGCTAGAACATTCAAATCTTTAAATCATATTTTTGGTAAGGATAACATTACACCCACCTTTACAAACAGTGAGACAAACTCTCCTCAACAGCCAGACTTTAGCCGCGAATTTTCTGCTCGAGCATGGTCAGTTCGCGCATAAAAAGCCCTAAATGTGTCGTCAACGCCAATTCTGCGATTCTATTGGCTGTTTACTACTCTCTCCGCACTCTTGGTAGTTGTAGTTGTAGGGATTTCTAGACATCAGCGCAGACAAGACGAGCATCACCGTAACATTATAGTTCGGTAATGAACATTGAATGAACATATACATTTATTGTTTACATTTAATTGATCGAAAATATGGGTCTTTTGTGGATGAAAAGTCAAAAGTGTGTCCTTGACCTGCATCAGTCAGTCAGCCTTTGAATGAAGTGTGTGATGATTACACAAGTCTTCAATATATCGCTCCAACTAACCAGATGCACGTTCTCGACCGTGCGCTCTCGAGGACTGCCTGTGCCTTCGTCTGTGTATTGGCCATAGTAGACTGACTATACTATTTATTTGACGAAATAACGTTTTTATCACGTTGTCTGTGTATTTTATTTTGTGCAACATCTTCCATAGTGTTGATAAAACAAGTTTACTGGAGAACTGAGACCAAGTAGAGACTTTTGGACAAGGTGGATAATTGTATAATATAAGGCAGTTTATTCAGAGGTAAAGATATCTGGAATCGCGTGCACGGACCCGTTCGTCAATCTCCTAGGGAGATATCTGAGAGAGCCCCGAAACATTGTGTGCTGACATTTTATACAATAAAATGAAGTAGGTTGATTCTAGTAGTTCTGATCTTCTGATTGGTCCTGATGAGTTGGGCGAGGTCCCCTCCAGGTTAGTATCACTGTTGCATTGGCTCTGAGTCGGGTTCTCTGTCTTCAGATGTTCAGCCTAAGAGAAGGGGATTTCTGTGTGTGTGTGTGTGTGTGTGTGTGTGTATGTGTGTGTGTGTGTGTGTGTGTATGTGTGTGTGTGTGTGTGTGTGTGTGTGTGTGTATGTGTGTGTGTGTGTGTGTGTGTGTGTGTGTGTGTGTGTGGGGGTGTGTGTGTGTGTGTCCTCAGAGCAAGAACTCGTGAGTTGGAAGAACTGAGAGACCTATGGCGTGGGTGTTGTCCTTAGCCACCTGCTGATAAGGCTGACAAGATAGGACTCTTTTGTGCATTGTATTGAATACAAAGGCCCAACACAAAATGGGTCATGCACAAGATTTTAGTCAGACCAAGCTATAACATTATATATTTACTACGACAATAGTCAATACTGTTATTGTGTCCTACTTTGTTTTAATCACACAGAGAGATATGACTGCAGAGGATCCATGGAATGACCCATGTTTCCTCCAGAGCCAGAAAGCTGCAGTCATACATAATGTATCAACATAATTTATTGTCTTCTTATTAGAAGACTTGAGAGGAATGCACCCCCAATCCTGAAGGAAGTCAGCTTCTGCCTGTCTGTTTGTTAGGTAATGTCACACCACAGGACTCCAACACTGAGACTATAAGAAATCTCTAACGGCTTTATATTTGTTCTCTATAACTAGGCTAGCACACCACAGACTTCACAGTCTACAAACTCTTATCTCTTAAGAAAAGGGAGAGAGGGCGACAAGGGGAGGCAGAAGATGGAGAAGGAAAGAGAGAGAGGGAAGGTAAAAATACTTGTCACATGACAAGTCCTGGACTGAAAAAATATTGATAATAAATAAAGAAAAGGTAGCACACCGGAGCTGCATAGCCTATAACCTACACTGTGTGCCAGCTTTTCTTTCTTTACTGTCACATAAGTCTCTTACTTATCCCATATACTGTAGTTGGAGGATTTAATTCAGACTCATTTCTGCTTGGCACCATGTTTGCCATCCTTTCATCCTTTCAAGTCACCATATGGTGGTCCACTTCAGGCAAGATGGTCAACAGGAATTACATCCCCCTTTCTCATTGTCTACCCCCAGCTACCATCAGCCATCATCAAATCACATTTTATTGGTCACATACACATATTTAGCAGGTGATATTGCGGGTGTAGCGAAATGCTTGTGTTCCTAGCTCCAACAGTGCAGTAGTATCTAACAATTCACAACAATACACACAAATCTAAAAGTAAAAGAATGGAATTAAGAAATATATAAATATTAGGACGAGCAATGTCTGAGTGGCATTGACTAAAATACAGTAGAATACAGTATATACATATAAAATGAGTAAAACAGTATGGAAACATTATTCAAGTGACTAGTGTTCCATTTAAAATGACCAGTGATTCCATGTCTATGTACATAGGGCAGAAGCCTTTAAGGTGCAGGGTTGAGTAACCGGGTGGTAGCTGGCTAGTGATGGCTATTTAACAGTCTGATGGCCTTGAGATAGAAGCTGTTTTTCAGTCTCTCGGTCCCAGCTTTGATTCACCTGTACTGACCTTGCCTTCTGGATGATAGCAGGGTGAACAGGCTATGGCTCGGGTGGTTGATGTCCTTGATGATTTGGCCTTCCTGTGACATCGGGTGCTGTAGGTGTCCTGGAGGGCAGGCAGTTTGCCCCCGGTGATGTGTTGGGCAGACCGCACCACCCTCTGGAGGGCCATGCGGTTGTGGGCGGTGCAGTTGCCGTACCAGGCGGTAATACAGCCCAACAGGATGCTCTCAATTGTACATCTGTAAAAGTTTGTGAGGGTCTTAGGGGCCAAGCCGAATTTCTTCAGCATCCTGAGGTTGAAGAGGCGCTGTTGTGCCTTCTTCACCACACTGTCTGTGTGGGTGGACCATTTCAGATAGATTTCAGTGATGTGTATGCAGAGGAACTTGAAGCTTTTCACCTTCTCCACTGTGGTCCCGTCGATGTGAATAGGGGCGTGCTCTCTCTGTTGTCTCCTGAAGTCCATGATCAGCTCCTTTATTTTGTTGACATTGAGGGAGAGGTTATTTTCCTGGCACCACTCCTCCAGGGCCCTCACCTTCTCCCTGTAGGCTGTCTCGTCATTGTTGGTAATCAGGCCTACTACTGTTCTGTTGTCTGCAAACTTGATGATTGAGTTGGAGGCGTGTGTGGCCACGCAGTCATGGGTGAACAGGGAGTACAGGAGGGGGCTGAGCACGCACCCTTGTGGGGCCCCTGTGTTAAGGATCAGCGTAGTGGAGGTGTTGTTTCCTACCTCCACCACCTGGGGGCGGGCCGTCAAGAAGTCCAGGACCCAGTTGCACAGGGCGGGGTTCAGACCCAGGGCCCCGAGCTTAATGATGAGCTTGGAGGGTACTATGGTGTTGAAGGCTGAGCTACAGTCAATGAACAGCATTCTTACATAGGTATTGCTCTTGTCCAGATAGGATAGGGAAGTGTGGAGTGCAATGGCGATTGCATCATCTGTGGATCTATTGGGGCAGTATGCAAATTGAAGTGGATCTAGGGTGTCGGGTAAGGAGGAGGTGATATGATCCTTAACTAGCCTCTCAAAGCTCTTCATGATGACAGAAGTGAGTGCTATGGGGCGATAGTCATTTAATTCAGTTACCTTTGCTTTCTTGGGTACAGGAACAATGGTGGACATTTTGAAGCAAGTGGGGACAGCAGACTGGGAAAGGGAGAGATTGAATATGTCCGTAAACACTCCAGGCAGCTGGTCTGCGCATGCTCTAAGTACGCGGCTAGGTATGTGCCCTGTGGACGCGGCTAGGTATGAACATACTTTAGTTTATTAGGATTGAATGATGGTGACTAATTATGAATAATGGTGGTAAGTGGAACAATGTCTTCTGTCTCTCATAATGTCAGTTGTCTTTTTAGTATGTATCTGACCCCTGCAGAAATAGAACCCATGACCATGCCATTGCCAGCACCATGCATGCTCTTACCAACTAAGCCACATACGGTATCAGTCTTTGGACAGTATGTCCTTCCTACATGCACCAGTAGCTATAAGATTCATGGCCAAGATCCACTCAATGCCCCTGTATTAGACAGACAGAAGGTCGTTATGTAAATGCTAGTAGGGATAGAAGAAAAATTGAACTTCAATCAATGTGAAAAGACGAACCATGTCATTTCATGGTATTTTTAGTTCGACTCTATCCTGATGGCAAAGAAAAACAGTAGTACAGACATAGAAGAGGCATTGCTTTTGTTCAGGCTGTGTGATATCGAACTCTTTGAATATTTTAAACTTTCCTGGGTTTATATTTAGATTGCTTTTTTCTTTGTTTGTGTCGCTTTGAGTCTAGCTCACAATTTAACCAATTCAGTTCTATATCAGTTTTACATACTTTAGTTGAATGCACTGATTGTAATTCGGTTTGGATAAAACTAACTAAAGATATGGGGCAGTTAACAACAAAAAATAACTAAAATATACATAAATCAAGCATTTTCAATACAAAGCTTTAGTATTGTCGTGGCACTGTGTGAGATCTTTCCAGAGTTTGTGGGACTGTACAGAGAGTATGGCTCCTGCTGTCTATTTCCAGGCCAGGGAAGTCGGTGTTCATTGATTGAACTGCTGTAGTTAAGCCTGCTACCCATTTATATTGTCCATCTATAGTCGCTGAGTCACCTAGACCTCTCTGATATGCCCTCATCATTTGAACTGGATATCATTGATACTGTATATCCATCCC